TAAATAATATATCAGACGTACAGCAAGAAAAAGGTATAACTGATTATTTTTCTAACTTTTATATTTTTCTGCAATTGCAATAAATTTTTAAATATTTGACCCGTTCCAGAAAATGATTAGAAACAATAAAAATCAAAATAATAAATGAATCGCAATCGGAAGATGATATTATTACTTCGTACAAAAGAACTCGAAAGAGTATATTGAGCACCTCAGAATCCGAAGAACAAAATTCAACAAAATCGGAAAAAAATATATTCGATATTACATGGACTACCGAACCGGCGCGACCCAAACTTCATCAATTTTCGAAACGAAATTCCGGAATAAGAGTACCAATTAGCCACTCCACATCAATTCTTGATTACTTCCAGTTATTTTTCTCCGAGAGCTTTGTGGAATTTATCGTCAAAACAACAAACGATTATGAGGAATGCATAAATAATAATAACGCTCCGAGTCCTTCACAAGGGACTTCTCTTGCTGAAATGTATCGTTTACTCTGTATAAAGATGTTGATGTCGCGGAATAAAAAACTATCTCATTTTGAGTATTGGGCAAACGATGAGCTTTTGAGAAACAGAATTTTTGGTGAAATAATGTCAAGGGACCGATTTTTATATTTACTAAAAACATTACATTTTAATACCAATGATACGTAAGCAAATGTTGATAGATTAATGAAATTCGGGAAATTTGAGATATGCTTAGAGAAAGATTCAAGAATGCGTTGTATCCCTTCCAAGATTTATGCATTGATGAAAGTTTGTTGTTATATAAGGGCAGATTGTCCTTCAAACAGTATATTCCATCAAAGAGGAACAGATTTGGTATTAAGTCCTTTGTGTTATGTGATAAGAAATCTGAATTTGTTCAAGACTTTATAATTTACGACGGATCCCTCTCCAATATTACCAACACAGATGCAAATCTTGGAAAATCTGGGAACATTGTTGTCCAGCTACTTAGACCATATTTAGAAAAAGGGCATAGTCTATTTGTTGATAACTAGTGCGCAAGTCCAGCACTGTTTATTTTTTTGCACAAGAATGGTACTAACGCCTGTGGCACCGTGAAAAAAAGACGCAAAGGTATGCCAAGAATGGATAAAAAATTGAAAAAAAACGAGGCGGGTTTCTGATCGTCAGAATGTTTGCTAGCCATGAAATGACATGACAAAAGAGAGGTGTATATGTTACCGACCTTTCACACCGAAGAATTTGTCGATACAAAAATCCATTATCGCACAAAGGAAATGATCATAAAACCAAAGTGTGTCGTTGATTATAATCGTTCTATGGGAGCCGTGAATAAAACTGATATGATAATAAGTGCGATTCATTCCCAAAAGAAAAGTTTAAATGGTACAAGAAGTATTTTTTCCTCTTATTGGATATATGCATATGGAACGCCTATTGTCTATATAAATTGAAAAGTGGGAAATATATATCAATGGCTAAATTCCATCTTGAATTAATTCGACAAATTTTAAGACGCTACCATTCATCGAAAGCCACGAAGAATGTTAATAAATCTGGACATATTAACACAACGCTTCTTACTGCAAGACATTTTCCATCACTTTATGAGAATAACAAGACGAAGAGAAAAAATCCACTAAAAAAATGTGTGGTATGCAAAAAAGAACGATAAAAGCAGTCAAACACGATATTAACCTTTTAAGGACGGGGATTTTTACGTTAAAATTTGACTTTTTTTTGCACAATATTTGTGCATAAAATGAAAGAATATGTCACGTGGAGTGCCTGACAAAATTGGTGGTCGATATATCGACCAGTCCCGTCCTTAAAAGGTTAACGTGAGAAATGTGATGTTGGTTTATGTGTATCCGTGTTTTGAAAAATTTCATACAGAATATTATTATTAAAAAATTACTGTTCAATATTATGTTATAATTATAGTTCCTATATTGTTGTACAATATAAAAATATTAATTGCATTGTTGAATTAAAAATACCTCCATGGAAAAATTATGAACACAAATCATTTTGTTTCTAAAAGTAATGTCACAAAGTCGTTTTTGAGACAAAAGTCTTGGCCCCGAATGCTAAAAACTGCGCGCGCTTAATGTTCCCACTTTCGGCACGGAGCTCCGTTTTAGACGAGGTACTCCGCGGTGAGGCCCACCGTAGCGAAAAGGTTAATTGAAAAATTGAACTCTCGCGCACCCCCCCTCTCTCTCTCTTAGACGTTCGCTCTAGCATCGCGAGTGCTACCGAATCGCGAACGTATCAATTGATTGAATCCACTACCGTTGCAGATCATACAATGTATAACTGAAAGTTAAAACTCATTTCTAATGTAACCCTATCAAAGGCAGATTCTACGAGGGGGGTCAATAAGTCTTTACAAAAAGAAGGAAAAAAAAGTTTTGCGTATGTAATTTTGTTATATTTTTCAACATAATTTCAACAACGTTAAAAGTTTATTATGTAAATGAACTTCTGTGTTTAGCATGGATTTTATTAAACCAACAATTTTGAATTATATTTAAATGTTTCTTTATTATAAAAATAGACTTAGAGACATTTCTACAAAAATGAAGTAGCCCCTCGTTAACGAAATATCGCGTAATACTTAATATAATAGTGTCCTCATAATATTCACTATCATTTTATTAAAAATAATAATAATAATAATAATTAATATTTACTTCATAATATAATAATGTCCGCGCAACATGTATGAATGTCCGTACTTATTTATATAAAAAGTAATGATCACAATATCAAAATAATATTTTCTACTTAATATAATCTTGTCCTCGCAATATTAACTTACGTATTTACGTCTGTATATATTGGTATGAATAGGTGATAAACACATTATCACAACATTGTGTACTACAGAAAAAAAAAAGTCGAGGAAGAGCAGCTATTACGAAGATAAACCGGACAGGTATGAATAACTGTGTAATATTAAGTGGTTCCGCTCGTTATTAACGGCGCTAACCAACATGACACAGAAAAGTTGAAGAATAGACTTTAAGTACGAGGGGGGGGTCAATAAGTCTTTACAAAAAGAAGGAAAAAATAGTTTTGCGTATGTAATTTTTTTATATTTTTCAACATAATCTCCTTGAAGGTCGATACATTTTATTAAATGGCCTTCCAGTTTTTTTAAGCTATTAGAAAAATATGATTTCTGAAAATCCTCAAAATAGGCATTTGTTTCGACGATGACTTCTTCATTCGACGTGAATCGTTGTCCGGCAAGCCATTTTTTGAGGTTAGGAAATAAGAAAAAGTCACTGGGAGAAAGATGGTTTATTCAAGACTATAGCTTGCCCTCAAATGGTAAAGGATTATAATACTCACATAGAGATTATTGACAAATCACATCAGATAAAATCATTCTATGAAATAACAAAAAAAAAAGAAAATGGTGGCACCGCGTACAAGGGCACGTAACTATTATCAACACTTTCATAATTTGTAAATTTTTCAATCCTGATAAAGAATTGAAATTGAAAGACATTCGTTTATCAGTTGTAGATAAGTTAATAAAAAAAAAATTAAAACTCCTGAAAGTATCAGGACGTCAATACAGAAGAAACATTTGCCTCGTATGCATGAGGACTATACACAAACAATGAGCTTTTTAGTACTAAAACAAAGGATTTCGATCATAATTCTATTGCACGACATGCAGTGTAACTTTATGCATTAATACGGAAAAAAATTACTTTGCTGAATGTCATAAATAAAAAATTATTACAACACAGAAGGCGATGAACATTAAATCCACATGTGACTAATATGTTCTATTGGTAGAATTTTCCAAATTTTCATTCACTATATTAGATTAATAATCTTTATTATAAAAATTTGGGAGCATATACATATAATAAAAAAAAAATATTTGTGAAAAATTATACAAATATAAGAAAATAAAAAAATGCACGTGTATTTTTAAATTAATTTTAAGTAATTTTCTTTTCTTGGCAATTTTACCATAAGTTTATAGTTTTTGAGAAAAAAAATCATGAATTATTTAAAAATATTTTGCGGTTTGGACGTCATTTTACAAATTCTACAGTGAAAAATCGATCTATGAATGATGGATTCTTAAAGTTCAACCATTTATTCCACCGGTTAAAAAGGTTTCCGGTCAATTCCAAACGTGAAAGGCTTTGAAAAAAAGAGAAGAAAATTAATGTTTTCTTTTTGTTTAAACACCATTTTTTCATAAATATTAATAATTTTGAACAATTTTGAATTCACCATCAGAAAGGATTTATTTCAAGCTTTTAAAATATGCCCCTCTCAATTTTTTTGGACATCTATAGAATGAGTTACGAGATACCAAAGACTGGTATATCGCTAGTGGCGTTTTCGGCCGAAACGGGTTAATTTAGACAGGTTAATTCTCATTTAAATACATTTTCTACTACAATCACTATCTTTGACTGATGAAAATGAAAAAATATTTATTGAGAAACACGAAAATAATAGATAAAAGAACGCTTAAAAAATTGTCAGAACATAAAGGTGTAAATGAAAATTCAACGAAAAGAATACAAATATGATTAAAAACAATGGATATCATAACAATGACTTATTAAATTATTATAATTACTATGCAAGTGTAAATAAAATATGAGATGATAAAATGCATGCAAATCATCTAAATTCTAACGCAAACGATACTCACAAATAAAAAAAATTACTATGCATTTTCCTAATCTCTACTCATAAATTTCCTAGACAATATACATTTATTACTCCCCTTATTGCATTCGAAATACATAGTAATTTATCACGAAAGTGTTTATTTGTACATATTTCTGGTTGACTGACACGAAGGATTTCCTGCACTATTTAACATAATACCAAATATTTATAACACCAAAGAGCACCTGAGTAAACACGTAATCGTACTTATTATCACTTTCAGGCCCACATTGTTATTTACGGTTATATGAAATATAATAAAATTAAAGAGAAACCTACAATAATATTGATATAAAAATTGAGTACCTGTGGAGGGTATAAGTCCAGAGTACACTCTACACACGCCGTGAGTCCAGGTAAGATTACTCTTACATTTCCTTTGAAACCTTCAGTTCCACCATCGACAAATGGAATTATACTGCTATGATCAAGAACACCATCGTTATAAACAAGAAGCGAAATCAACATGCCATTGATCCATCTTCTTGCTATAACCGAATCTAAACCACAAACAACAATATGAAACTGACGGTAAAAGTCTTCATCCTTATCTTGAATTTTGCAGTAATGAGGAACAACATTACATCCAGGCATTTGATTGTTAATAAATATTGAAGCTGTTTCTGCTTTTGAACTTCCAATGTCTTTATGTCGAAACAAGAATTGCCTGAAATTAAACTAAATAATTATATTGCTTTATCCAAAAATTAAGCGTTATATATTACAAGAAAAATTTATAGTATTTCTGGAGTATGATCTTTAAGTTTTTCTAAAGCTATGTTTCTTATCACACAATTGAGATGACAAGTGAACTGTAAAAATTATAATGTCTTATCGATATGCGAAAGAATAAAAAGAAAGATAGTGCAGAGAGATATAGCAATCACTTATCTCCCGGCATTCTCTCTATTCCCACTCCCATTATTTCTTACTCATGCTATGTTCCACGAGGATTAATTTTTATATTACGTGTTCTTTGCTCCAGGGGGAGGGGGAGCTAATTAAAACAAATTTCCCACGTTTCGATTTGTATTCCCACAATGAACTACTCACTGCCACGTCGCTGTCAATAGCACTGGGGAATTGTGTTGAAAGATAGACTATTTCTATTTTCGTGAGCGCACCAGAAAACATGTAAATACGTGTAAACTGCGGGCGCTTAACAGATCGCGTAAGTTTTGTTTCGAGCGAGGATCAGTTAAGGGCTTGAGAAAGCCCCTAACCTTGAGAAAATTTATACCTAAACCTTCACTAGACTTATCAAATGTTTTCTATGTGCGCCAAATTTATTTATAATCTGTCTAATACGAGTATATTAAGACATTAAGTAAATGTTACTGCTATATAGTTATGTGTACACGAGATTTAGGAAAATACTCCAGTAGATAGTTTTTATTTTAGAATGCGATAAAAAGATTAGAATTTATTTATGCTGTAATGATGAATCAAAAAAATATATTATTTAATGCCGTTAAAAATTATTCGTCCCTCGATGCAAGACTAACTACAGGCTTAATCTGTTTCAAGTAACCTTGGTGATGGCACATATATATTGCGCGTGGCTGAAAACGTACGTGAAATCACGGAGCAATGCAAGAGATAAAAAGAAATCAAGTCAGGTTCTCTACTGCGGGCAGGGATTAGTACAGAGTAAGGTAAATATAGACATAATAGGAAATAAAATAAAATGTGCGAATTTTATTCCGCTTTTTAGAAACAATTCACAATAACGATTCGGCCAAGAGATTTTAGATACAGACAAAGATCAACAAGTGAGCGCACTTGTTGACCACAGCGAGTACGAGAGAGAGAGAGAGAGAGAGAGAGAGAGAGAGAGAGAGAGAGAGAGAGAGAGAGAGAAATAAACATATCCAGCTAAGCGCGAATAGTGGTCGCTTCACTCGTGCAACGACTCACTGCATTTGTGATGATACAATCAATCGCCTACCTTATTTTGGACATCGTTGCTGCAAACAACGATACTACGACGGATCGAGTAGATTTATGGGAAGATAGTTGGTCGATGATGATTAGCCGACTCGGCCCGCTTATTACTGGTAGCGTCTAGAGAGTGATGCTCCGAATGGTTAAAATCAATGATCCTGTCAACATTGGGCGTCGATCTCTCGATAGATACGCTACACTGCATCGCGTCCTCTCTATTCATACTTCACCGCATAAAGGGTCTGGCTGACGAGAGGTTGCTGTAAAAAGCAAGTCACCAGGTCGAGTGAAATTCGACAGGACAAACTTTGTAACCGTCTGTCTTTCTCGCTTGTCGACTAGTCAGTCTAAGCTATTTTTCTCGTCACGTGTCGCTCTCCCCCTTTTATCGCACCCACGTACTTCTCTTCGATGCATTCAGTAAAATTATACTGCGGTAATCCTACTTTTATGAACATAAAAAACATCTATTTTGTAGATATAACTATAGTAATTCATAATGGTGCTTGTGAAAATATCTCGTGAGTTTGTGCATGAGGCCTGTATGATAAACTTTATCAAAGGCCTGGTGAAATCAAGAAATGTGCCGAAGAAATACTGTTTACTTTCAACTAATATCCTCGCAGTAAAACACTATCCGTTTTACTTGTTCAATCGCGAAATGTTTGCACCTCAAACTGAATTAAGGTTATGAGATATGTTTTCTATTCAATGTTATTGGATTAATTCAGGCTAGAAATACTTTCTCTAAACATTTTTAAAAGTGCTGGTAAAAAAATAACCGGTCTATATAAGATCACCAGTTTAGGTTCTTTATCCGGTTTATATATTAATATTTAATTTATGCTACTTTTTAGTCAGAGGGGAAATAACAAATATGCAAGCATATATTGAAAATAATTGTTACGTATATTATTGCTTTAAGGTAACTTTTTAATTATTTTTTTTCTTCATACAACATTTTCTTACCGCAAGATCTTCTGATAGCTGGTATAAATGTAGTTAGTGTTTTAACTCGTTTAGTGGCATTTCATAGTAAGTAATCCGTTGCTTCTATTCGACTTAGATATATCTGGATTTGTATGTTTTTTCTTCATATATTTTTTGTAACACTTTGAATGCTTTGTTTACTTTGGTTTTATCTTAATTCCATCTATTGACTGTTACCTTTCTCTTAGTAATCTCTATTTTTTATTTTTTGTGTTATTAGATATATTACTAGTGATTTGCTATGTTTTTTCTACTATTTACAGTCATCTAACATTTGTTAATGGCCTCAGGTAGATATACGTTAAGTATTTTAATACTACTTTCTATGTTAGTAACTGATTTAAGGTAAACGTTACGTGTTATGCGTTCCATAATGAAAAGAAAATATTTTTTCAGTCAACTTTCATGTAATTTTTACAGTTTTGAGTACTTGTGAGTATATATTTATATTGTGTTACGTGTTACGTCCGAAATTTATCAATATTTAATTAAACTTACTTGGAAAATCCGCCTAGAGTAAGCGAAAATTACACAAGCCGACAAGGAAAAAAACCCAGAAAGTAGACAGTACGTTCCCAAACGTTTTTGGTGCGCTGAAACCGAATATGACCTCAGAATTGCTCCATCGCCCTAGGTTTTCGAGAAATCCTAACCTAAAAGTTCAAAAAACACGATTTTTCACTATATTTCGCGTAGTATTATGTCGTAAGTCAATTTTATTTTAAAAAACGAGCAATGCTATCTCAAAGTACTACTCTTACCCTTCAAAACCCTTTTTCAGATTTAAAAGATCGTTTTTTTCCATCGAGATATCGTAGATTGAATTTGAGTGATTTAGCGATTTGGTTACAGCACGAAATAGTGGCGAATTTCCGAATAAGGAGTTATAGTGTAATTATATGTTTTTTGGGTTACTGAATCAAAATTTAACGTCAGAACGACTCTATAATCTCAATTCCCTTAACCCTAGAGCCCCATAACCTGCGACGCTGTAACCCCTGACCGACATACACTAATTTCCTTAACCCTCGAGCCCTTTAACCTGCGGCGGTATAACCCCCGACCCTCACACCCCAATTTCCTTAACCCTCGAGCCCTTTAACCTGCTGCGGTATAACCCCCGACCCTCATACCCCAATTTCCTCAACCCTCGAGCCTTTAACCTGCGAAGCTATAACCCCCGACCCTCACACCCCAATTTCCTCAACCCTCGAGCCCTATTACCGCGACGCTATAACCCCCAACCCTCATACCGAAATTCGCTACGCAGAATACCTCAAGCCTCCAAATTATATTCAACCGCCGAGCTCTACAAGTCGGCAACCTCAGACTCCTTTGCCAGAATTTCCTCAATCAGCACTTCAAGCTGCTATCGTATAACCGTATGTCTCTACATTTCAATCCCTTCAATATCCAAGCCTTGTATTCTACGCAGCTTTCAATTACGCGTTTTAAATCTCTTTTATTCAGTTTGTGAGTGTTGCATCTGAATATCTGCAACCCTACAGTTTTTCACTTCTTTTTTTTATGAAAACGCTGTCGTTTATCTTGAAATGAATGTTTAAGAGATTTGTGTCTATGATGATCTGTTAATGTATCGTGTCGGTGTAGAGCCCAGCAATAGTCAGCCATCATGCTCTCATTCCATCTACCTTGATAATGTTCCTCTTTGTTTCTGAAATCTTGATGAAATCTTTCACCCATTTCTTCACTGAACGCTCCAACATTGTCCGGAAAGTATTTCAAATGTGAAAACAAAAAGTGTATTTTCAGGCTCATCAAACACCCCAATTTTTGAAAATTCTGTAGCATTGTCGACACAATAGTTTTGTATTTAGGGTCCCGGTGGTTTCTGAGAAAATTCTCGGTGACACTTTTGAAACTTATCCAAGCATTTCTCTCATTAGTCGTCATTATCAAGAGGAATTCATCATCTTTCATAAGTGCTCGAATGTCTGGCCCTACAAATATGCCTTCCTTAATTTTCGCTTCAGACAATTTAAGAAATTTGCCCTGAAGATACTTGTAACATTCGCCTTCCTTATCTAGTGCCTTGACGAATTGCTTCATCAAGCCCAGTTTTATATGGAGTGGAGGTAACAAGATATGTTTAGTATCAACAAGGTTCTCATGGACGACATTGTGTGATCCAACAACCATTCCGATTCTTTTCGTCCATTCTTTCCGAACCCAATGTTCTTCTCGTGCACGACTGTCCCAGAGACACAAAAAACAGGGGTGCTTCGTATTTCCAGATTGCAAGCCAACTAATATATTGATCATCTTGAAATTGCCACAAACGAGCCATTTGTGTTCATTGTAATTGATTATCTCAAGAAGGAATCGAAAGTTATCGTGAGACTCTTTCATCACAGTGGAATGAGCAATGGGAATAGCTGCATACTCATTCCCATTGTGCAGAAGTACTGCCTTGAGACTTTGTACAGATGCATCCATGAAGAGTCGCCAGTTCTCTGGATTATAACCTCCTTGCACTCCATATAAACTGATGAGATGCTTTATATCGTTGCAGTAAACACGCAAGTAAAATATGGCCGAAATTTAATATCTCTCTTCCTGTAAATAGAAACTTTTGTGTCAGGTAATAAAAGATTTCTTTCTTTTAGTCTTGAAGCTAAGAGTTCTGAAGAATCTTTCGGAAGATTCAAATCACAGATCAGATCATCCAAAGAATTTTGGTCGAAAAGTTTGGGCTTTTCTGAGTCAGAAAAA